AGTGCAGCAGACTTTGGGCCTTTGGTTGGCAGTAAATACATACAAAATAAAAAGACAGGTCTGGGGTGCCCTGAGGCTCTGCATCTCAGGCTCGCTCATGAGGTTGGGGCCCAGCAGGGCAGCAGAGTAAGCCAGGCCTAGACTGGTGAGGGGGAACCTTTTAACGCTCAGTGATAACAGGCAGCCGGCAGCAGTGCGCCTGTCGCAGGCTCCCACCTGGGCCTGGGCCATGTGAGGCCTTTCCTACATCAGCTTCCTCTGGGTTTCCTCTCCTGACTGTGCCCAGGGGAGTCTTTATTCAGCAGAGGAAAGGTAGGCGTGAGAACCAGAGAGAGTCAGGTGCTTCAGCAGCACTGTTTAATTATAGCCCGTAACAAATCTCAGGTGGCAGTGGAGTTCTCCTACAGGGAAGACGGGTCCCTGGGTACACAGCGAATGCCCAGACCAGGATGCAGACTCGGGCTCTCTGACCTAGTGCCAGTGCAGGTGTCTTCCGCTACCCTGTGCTGTGTCTGCTCACCCACCCTGCTCCCCCTGGGTGGGTGAAATACAGGTTCCTGGGCCTCAATTATGATTCAGTAGGCCTTGGCAAGCCCCAGTAGCCGTGATAGGAAAACCCTCCAGGGGTGATTCTAAAGCTGAGGACCTGCAAAGCTCTCTGGGAGAAGCAGAGAGGTTCTGCTGCCCCTCCTGAGGTCAGTGGCTTTTGCCCAGAAGCAGCCCTTGCCTGGAGAGCTGGTTGCCATGGACCCCGGGGTCTGGGTCTGTAGGTGTGAGTTAGGGCCCAAGCCTTTGCCTTCCTGATTTAGAGTCCAAGATGCTCGGGTCTGGGGACACGAGAACCACTGTCACCGAGTTTTGCTGCTCACACGTGATCCATGGACCACATCGCACGCCTACTGCACCTTGAGTCCGCATTTTCACCATGTCCCCAGGAGGCTTGTGTGCACTTGGAGACCTCAGAGAAGCCAGAAAGAGCGAGCAGTGGGGGAGACGTGTGTGTGACTTCTCTTCCTGAGGATCTGAAAAGGCAGTGGAGGGGCTGTGGGCTGTGGGCTGTGCACCAGAGGGTGGAAGGTGAGGACTGCTGAGTGCAATATGGAGGAGCAGAGCGCCAGGTGAGGGCTGAGCTCAGCTGTCAAGCAAGCCAGTGTGCCGGTGCCCTGTGGAGCTGGGTGGGGCTGGGGCCCGGGCTGCCACCTTCGGGGCTGCCACCTTCGGCCTCTACCCGTGTCTGTCCTGACAGCCTGCTCAGGAGGACCTTGGCTGTAGGAATGCAAACCACATCCAAAGAGACAGACAGCACTGTCCACCTGCCCGGCTCTGTCTTGGGAGCAGCAGAGGAGACAGCAGCCCGGGCAGAAGGGAACAGGGGTAGGGCCCTCACTGTGGTGGTGGTCACAGGGAAGTGTGGCATGTGTGGGGAGAAAATAGAAAAAACAGATGCCCACCAGAAGGTCTGTGCAGTCTTTTTTTTTTTTTTGGCGGAACCAGGGATTGAACTCAGGCCCTTGTGCTTGTCAGGGAAGCGCTTATTCCACCAAGCCATTACCCCGCCCCCCTGTCTGTGCATTCTTAAACCTTTTTTATTAAAACAAAAAAAGCTGGGAGAAGTCAATCATTTGTTTTTGTGTTTTGGTTTTGTAGTCCACCCTGGTCTCAAACTCCCAGCAGTCCTCCTGCCCCAGTGTCCTAAGTGCTGGGATTACAGGCATGCATCACCATGCCCGGCCTCAGGAAATCCTTCAAAAGAGAGGTTTACTGCTGCTTCTGTGATACATTAATGCATATGAACAGCCTAAATTGGAGCATTTTAGCCTAGCATGGTGGTGCATGCCAGTAATCTCAGCATTCAGGAGGCTGAGGCAGGAGAATTGCTGTAAGTTCAAAGCCAGTCTAGGCTACATAGAGAGATCCTGTCACACACACAAAAGACATTTTACTTTTTAGATATGTTGAAACGAAATTTATTGGGTGGCCAGTAGGACAGTGTGTTGGGGTCGCTGTGAGCCCCACAATGCCCTACCCTGAGCTCCCAGCCACACAGCCAGGAAGGGAGCACGGCACTCCCTCCCGGCAGTTCCGAGTCTGCTCGCCCCTTCCACCTCTTCCTACAGCTGCTTTTATCTCTCTCTCCCTCCCCTTTTCTCTCCCAGGGAAAAAGCCCCCTTAATATTGGTCACTTCTCAAGGACCTGCTGGGAAACGGGCCCCAAGCAAGGTTAAGGCCCCTGTGCCAGCCAGGTGAGCTCTCTTCCCTTGCCCAGAATCAGTGCAAGAGGGAGCGAGGGCTGACACAGATTGACCGCTGCTACTTGCTGTGCTGGTTTGGGAAGTTATTTCCCTCTGCGGGCCTTTGTTCCTATTCTACTAACTGCCGAGAGCCCACAGATCACATGTTGTCATTGCTGCCCTGTTTACATGAAAAACTACGCAGGGCACAGAGTTCCCATAAACATCTGTGGAGCAAAGGAAGTAAAGGCTTCTATCTCCTCTCCTGTGACCACTTTGGTAAGGCACTCCCGCCTTTTGTATGGGAAATAAAGTTTATTGCTCATATAGTACAGCACAAAAGATTCGCCCTGGAGGAGGGCTCACGTTTTGTCCTGAGTGCGGACAGGTCTGTGTTTGGGGGTTCTGTGTGATCCAGTACACTGTGGTTAGGGTACCCATCCGGCTGGTCAGACAGGTGGCTGGGAAGTTCCTGGGGGCAGACAGTACCTGTGGGCCTTCTTTTCGAGGTCCCCAGGAGTGGACCAAAGAGCAGAGGGGAAGTCTGGGATCATTGAAAGCTATCAGAGCTCGAGGTCAAAAATGGTGTCTTTCTAAGTTCTGTTGATGTTGAGCACGTTTTTCTGTGCTCGTTTCCTTACTTGAAGTGATCCTCCTGCCTCAGCCTCCCAAGAGACTGGGATTACAGGTGTGCGCCACTATGCCCGGCATTGTGTGCTGCTTGCTCCTGTCACGTATTGCCTATGCTCCGTTTATTTGCCCATCTTTTAAGTTGTGTTGTTTTTGAGAGTTCTAGAGCCTAGATGTAACATTTCTCCCCATGGTCTGAGGGACACAGCTCTTAGAAGGAGGCACAATACCGTCGAACAAGAACTTCTCCATCCTTTTCTCAGCGAGAAGCACATTCCTAGTAACTCTCTGTCTGGGCAGGGAGCAGGCCTGCTCCTGCCACCATCAAGACCAGGGTCCCCTGCTTACCTCCTCCCCTTGTCACTGCTTTCTGTGCACAACAAGGATGCAGCCAGTCACTGCCCATTTGGAAAAGTACAGCTCCGTAGATGTGAATCAGCTTGGGCGGGCGGCCATGATTCATGCCTGACCAGCATGACTTAGTTCACCGCCTGTTCTGCATCTGCTTCTGCCTTCTAATCAAGCGATGATTGGGCTTGATGTTGGGAAGGGAGAGGCTGAATTTGATCTGTCTACCTTTGAGGAACGCTGGGGATAGGATGCCCGAGGGCGTTTTAGCACTGCTGTGGAGGGTGAGTGGTGGCCCTGTTGGGAAGGCTGGTGCCTGGGGCAGTCTGCACTGGGTGGCCCACGACCCTGCCCTTGCCGTGGCCCCTTGTAATACTCCAGACCTGCCCCGGGGATGCATTAAGACTGGCTGTGTGCCCTGCTAGACTCAGCTGTTGAATCACTGAGCGCAGTTAGGGGCAGGGACTGAGAAGCTCTCCGCTGCAGGTGGTGCTGGCTTTTTTTGCTGCAAATTTCCCCGTGTGTTTCCACCTTGGGCGGCCTTGTGTTTCCTGCGTCTTGTAGCTTAGCCCCTCAAGCCGCTGGGTAGAACTGCCGAGAACTCTGCCTTGGGTGCCTTTTCTGCAACACTCCTTGCCACACCTCTCTGCATGGGCGGTTGTGTGCTAGGCTCTGATGGTGGCTGCAGGTGTTGGATTTCGCGTCGTCTTCTCGGCAGCCCTCCAAGATGACTCATAAGGTCCGTTTTTACTCCTGAAGAAATGGGGGCTTGAAAAATCAGGGTACCTGGGGCCGGGGAGATGGCTTAGTAGGATATGCGCTTGACTGGCAAATGCAAGGATCTGAGTTCAATCCC